GTCTGTCTGTCCATCCATCTCTGTCTGTCCATATGTCTGTCTGTCTGTCTGTCCATCCGTGTCCATCTGTCTGTCCGTCCATCTGTGTCCATCTGTCTGTCTGTCTGTCCGTCCATCTCTGTGTCCATCTGTCTGTCTGTCCGTCCATCTCTGTGTCCATCTGTCTGTCTGTCCATCCATCTCTGTGTCCATCTGTCTGTCTGTCCGTCCATCTCTGTGTCCATCTGTCTGTCTGTCTGTCCGTCCATCTCTGGGTCCATTTGTCTGTCTGTCTTTCTGTTCATCTCTGTGTCCATCTGTCTGTCTGTGCGTCTGTCAGTCCATCCATCTGTGTCCATCTGTCTGTCTGTCTGTCTGTCTGTCTGTCCATCTCTGTGTCCATCTGTCTGTCTGTCTGTCCGTCCATCTCTGTGTCCATTTGTCTGTCTGTCTGTCTGTCCGTCCATCTCTGTGTCCATCTGTCTGTCTGTCCGTCCATCTCTGTGTCCGTCTGTCTGTCTGTCTGTCTGTCCATCCATCTCTCTGTCTGTCTGTCTGTCTGTCTGTCCGTCCATCTCTGTGTCCATTTGTCTGTCTGTCTGTCTGTCCATCTCTGTGTCCATCTGTCTGTCTGTCCATCCATCTCTGTGTCCATCTGTCTGTCTCTCTGTCTGTCCATCCATCTGTCTGTCCATCTGTCTGTCTGTCTGTCCCTCCATCTCTGTGTCCCTCTGTCTGTCTGTCTGTCTGTCCATCCATCTCTCTGTCTGTCTGTCTGTCGGTCTGTCCATCCATCTCTGTGTCCATTTGTCTGTCTGTCTGTCCGTCCATCTCTGTATCCATCTGTCTGTCTGTCCGTCCATCTCTGTGTCCATCTGTCTGTCTGTCTGTCTGTCCATCCATCTCTGTCTGTCCATCTGTCTGTCTGTCTGTCCATCTCTGTGTCCATCTGTCTGCCGGTCTGTCTGTCCATCCATCTCTGTCTGTCCATCTGTCTGTCTGTCTGGCCGCTCTGTGTCCATCTGTCTGTCTGTCTGTCTGTCTGTGCGTCCATCTCTGTGTCCATCTGTCTGTCTGTCTGTCTGTCTGTCCATCTCTGTGTCCATCTGTCTGTCTGTCTGTCTGTCCATCCATCTCTGTCTGTCCATCTGTCTGTCTGTCTGTCCATCTCTGTGTCCATCTGTCTGCCTGTCCATCTGTCTGCCTGTCTGTCTGTCTGTCCATCTCTGTGTCCATCTGTCTGTCTGTCTGTCCGTCCATCTCTGTGTCCATTTGTCTGTCTGTCTGTCTGTTCATCTCTGTGTCCATCTGTCTGTCTGTCCGTCCATCTCTCTGTCCGTCTGTCTGTCTGTCCGTCCATCTCTGTGTCCATCTGTCTGTCTGTCTGTCCCTCCATCTCTGTGTCCATTTGTCTGTCTGTCTGTCTGTCCATCTGTCTGTCTCTCCATCCATCTCTCTCTGTCCATATGTCCGTCTGTCTGTCTGTCCGTCCATCTCTGTGTCCGTCTGTCTGTCTGTCTGTCTGTCCATCCATCTCTGTGTCCATCTGTCTGTCTGTGCGTCTGTCAGTCCATCCATCTGTGTCCATCTGTCTGTCTGTCTGTCTGTCTGTCCGTCCATCTCTGTGTCCATCTGTCTGTCTGTGCGTCTGTCAGTCCATCCATCTGTGTCCATCTGTCTGTCTGTCTGTCTGTGCGTCCATCTCTGTGTCCATCTGTCTGTCTGTCTGTCCATCTCTGTGTCCATCTGTCTGTCTGTCTGTCTGTCTGTCCATCTCTGTCTGTCCATCTGTCTGTCTGTCTGTCCATCTCTGTGTCCATCTGTCTGCCTGTCCATCTGTCTGCCTGTCTGTCTGTCTGTCCATCTCTGTGTCCATCTGTCTGTCTGTCTGTCCGTCCATCTCTGTGTCCATCTGTCTGTCTGTCCGTCCATCTCTGTGTCCGTCTGTCTGTCCGTCCACCTCTGTGTCCATTTGTCTGTCTGTCCGTCCATCTCTGTGTCCATCTGTCTGTCTGTCTGTCCATCTCTGTGTCCATCTGTCCGTCTCTCTGTCTTTCCATCCATCTGTCTGTCCATCTGTCTGTCTGTCTGTCTGTCCATCCATCTCTGTGTCCTTCTGTCTGTCTGTCCGTCCGTCCATCCATCTCTGTGTCCATCTGTCTGTCTGTCTGTCCGTCCATCTGTCCATCTGTCTGTCTGTCTGTCTGTCCATCTCTGTCTGTCCATCTGTCTGTCTCTCCGTCCATCTCTGTGTCCATTTGTCTGTCAGTCTGTCCGTCCATCTCTGTGTCTGTCTGTCCATCCATCCATCTCTGTGTCCATTTGTCTGTCTGTCTGTCCGTCCATCCATCTGTGTCCATCTGTCTGTCTGTCTGTCCGTCCGTCCATCTGTCTGTCTGTCCGTCCATCTCTGTGTCCATTTGTCTGTCTGTCTTTCCGTCCATCTCTGTGTCCATCTGTCTGTCTGTCTGTCCATCCATGTCTGTCTGTCCATCTGTCTGTCTGTCTGTCCGTCCATCTGTGTCCATCTCTCTGTCTGTCTGTCCGTCCATCTCTGTGTCCATCTTTCTGTCTGTCTGTCTGTCCATCTCTGTCTGTCCATCTGTCTGTCCGTCCATCTCTGTGTCCATCTGTCTGTCCGTCCATCTGTGTCCATCTGTCTGTCTGTCTGTCCATCCATCTCTGTGTCCATTTGTCTGTCTGTCTGTCTGTCCATCTCTGTGTCTGTCTGTCCGTCCATCTCTGTGTCCATTTGCCTGTCTGTCTGTCCGTCCATCTCTGTGTCCATCTGTCTGTCCATCTGTCTGTCTGTCCGTCCATCTGTGTCCATCTGTCTGTCTGTCTGTCTGTCCATCTCTGTGTCCATCTGTCTTTCTGTCTGTTTGTCTGTCCGTCCATTTCTGTGTCCATCTGTCCGTCTGTCTGTCCGTCCACCTCTGTGTCCATTTGTCTGTCTGTCTGTCCGTCCATCTCTGTGTCCATCTGTCTGTCTGTCCATCCATCTCTGTCTGTCCATCTGTCCGTCTGTCTGTCCGTCCATCTCTGTGTCCATTTGTCCATCTGTCTGTCCGTCCATCTCTGTGTCCATCTGTCTGTCTGTCTGTCTGTCTGTCCATCTATCTGTCTGTCCATCTGTCTGTCTGTCCATCCGTGTCCATCTGTCTGTCTGTCCGCCCATCTCTGTCTGTCCATCTGTCCGTCTGTCTGTCCATCCATCTCTGTGTCCATCTGTCTGTCTGTCTGTCTATCTCTGTGTCCATCTGTCTGTCTGTCTGTCCATCTCTGTGTCCATCTGTCTGTTTCTCTGTCTGTCCATCTGTCTGTCTGTCCGTCCATCTCTGTCTGTCCATCTGTTTGTCTGTCAGTCCATCTCTGTGTCCATCTGTCTGTCTGTCCATCTCTGTGTCCATTTGTCTGTCTGTCTGTCTGTCCATCTCTTTGTCCATCTGTCTGTCTGTCTGTCTGTCCATCTCTGTGTCCATCTGTCTGTCTGTCTGTCCATCTCTGTGTCCATCTGTCTTTCTGTCTGTCTGTCCGTCCGTCTCTGTGTCCATTTTTCTGTCTGTCCATCCATCCATCTCTATGTCTGTGTGTCAATCAGCTGCCTCTTCAGCTGTCTGTGTGTCCATATGTCTGTCCATCTCTTTCCTCTGCCTGTGTCCATCTGTCTGTTTGTCCGTTCATCTGTCTCTCCATCCATCCCTACGTCTGTTTTTCTGTTCACTTGTCCAGCTGTGTGTCTGTCCATCTGTCTGTTCATCTGTCTGTCCATCTGTGTCTGTCCATCTAGCCCTCTGTCAATTTTTCTATCCATCTGTCCATCTCTCTGGGTGTCCGTCCGTCCGTCTGTCTCTGTCTGTCCATTTCTGTGTCTGTCTATCTGTCCATCCATCCTTGTGTCTGTTTGTCTGTCTGTCCATCCATCTCTCTCTCCATCTCTGCGTCCATTTGTCCGTCCACCTGCCTGTTCAGCTGTGTGTGTGTGTCTACTTGTCCGTTCATCTGTCCGTTTTTCCGTCTGTGTCCATCTGTCCATCCATCTGTCTTTTTGTCCGTCCATCTCTCCATCCATCCCTACATCCATTTGTCTGTCCAGCTGTGTGTCTGTCTGTCTGTCCGTCTGTCTGTCAGTTGGTCAGACTGTCTGTCCATCTGTGTGTCTGTCTGTTGTCTGTCTGTTTTTCATCTGTCTGTCTGTCTGTCCCTTTTTCCTCTCTCTGTGTGTCCATCTGTCTGTCTGTCCATCTCTCTATCCTGTGAGTCCATCTGTCCGTTGGTCTATGTGTCTGTTTGTCCGTCTGTCCATTTGTGTGTCTGCCTATCTGTCTGTGTGTCTGTCCGTCCATCTGTCTGTCTGTGTCTGTCCATCTGTGTCTATGTGTCTCTTTGTCTGTATGTCCATCCATCCATGTGTCCATCTGTCCTTCTGTCTGTCCGTTCATCCATTTTTGTGTCTGTCGATCCTTATGTATCTGTGTGTCCGTCTGTCTCTCCGTCCGTCTATATGTCCATCTGTCTGTCTGTCCATCTGTGTGTCCATCGGTTGGTCTACATGTCTGTCTGTCCGTCTGCCTCTGCCAGTCTGCGTGTCTGTCTGTGTGTTTCTCTATCTACATTTCTGTCTGTTTGTCTGTCTGCATCTGTCTGCCCTTTGGTCAGTCTGTCTGTCCATCTGTCTGCTCATGTGTCCATCGGGTCATCTGTCGGTCAAGCTATCTGTGTGTCTGTCTGTCCATCCATACATCTGTGTGTCCGTCTGCCTGTCTGTCCATCCAGCTCTGTGTCTGTCTGTCTGTGCATCCATCTCTCTCTTTGTTTGTGTGTCCCTGTGTCTGTCTGTCTGTCCATTCGTCTGTCCATCCATCCGTTATTCCTGTCTGTCCGTGTGTCCATCTGTCCATCCACCTGCCCGTCTTTGTCTGTCTGTCCATATGCCTGCATGTCTGTCTGTCTCTGTGTGTCTGTCTGTCCGTCTGTCCATCCAGTCAGTCCCTCCTCCCCAGAAAGGAGAGACCCCCCTCGTAGGGCCAAAACAAGGGGCGAGCCCTGTACCCGGGGGGCTCCCCCTCCTGCCATCCCCATCCCAAGCTCCACAACACATTCAGTCTCAAATCCCAAATCCCTCTGATTCAGACACAACAAAAACCTCCAAAGCACCAAGAAACAGCCCTAAAAACCCCAAATCATCCCCATTCAGCCCCAAAGCCCGCACATCACCACCAGCTGGAAAGGAACCACCCCGCTGTTCTAAACCCTTCAACTGTTACTTTTTACTATCTACGTCGAGCTCTGTCACTGCTTCTCCAAGCCGCGTGTCCCTTTCCCCGCAGCACAGCCTGGATCTGAAGAGCGATGCTGTCCCGGCCGCAGTGCGCTGCTCTGAGGAGCGGCTGTCAGAGGGAGGGGCCTTCCTGCTGGCCAACGGGCTGAGCATGTTCCTGTGGCTGGGAGCCAGCGTGTCCCCAGAGCTCATCCAAGGGCTCTTCAACGTGCCGTCCTTCGCACACATCAGCACCGACGCCGTGAGTACACGCACACTAAGGAGTCAGGATTTAATAAGACCAGATGCTAATTGGGGAAACAAATGAGGTGGTCTTTCATCAGGAACAGGTGATCAGCAGAAGGTGTTAAGACACCAGGAGTGTTTTAACTTACATAAAATTGTAAGCTGAACATTTCCAGGACAGCTTTCACAGCTTCTTTAAATCTTAAACTTTGACTGCTGTAGATATTAAAGTCCTAAACTGTGTGTTGCTGAAATTGGAACAAAACACTTTGCAATAGTTAGTTTCTCCTGACAACGAGTTTTCATACAGTGACTGTTTTACAATGAAAAATGGCTTCGGCGGGTGAGTCCTCAAGATGAGACATTTTTGTGAAGGAGATGGCATTTCCCAGTTTAGAATGAAATCCGCAGCTCCTTACACCATAACTATCAGCAGCTAGTCCAGTCTGTGTGAACTGGTAAGAGCTGTGACTGCCATGTTTCCCTTCTGACAGACATCCCTGCCGGACCTGGACAATCCATTCTCTAAGAAACTGAAGCATATCCTGGAACAACTCCAGAGCCAAAAGCCCCACACTATGAAGGTAACTTGTTTCTGCTTTACCTGTTCAGAAGAACACTACAGGCTTTGTGAAAACTTACCAGTAGCTATAAAAGGTTTTTTTATGTATCAGGAGTTTTCCTGCACATCAGTGAGTTCCAGCATGATTTGTAGGCACAGGCGTCCCAAACATGCTTAATTCCTAATCAAAACTGCCTTTCAAAGGTAGTCAAGTCTAAAAGGTAACCATTTTATTCTGCAACCCTTAATTCACATTAATTTCTCCTCTGTTCAGCTACTGAAATGTAAAGATAGTTTTGGGGGTTTTCCCCACCTCAAGAAGATCCACTAATAGACACAAGAAAACTACTGCCATCTAGTATGACTGTATTCTAAATTATTTCTCTCTTTTCAGCTGATTATAGTGAAGCAACGGGAACAGCCAGAGATGCTTTTCCGACAGTTCCTAGTAGAAGACAAGAGTATTTATGGAGGAGCTTCTTATGTGGATTTTCTCATCTGTATTCACAAGGAGATCAGTCAGCTGCTCAGTTAAGGCAACACTTAACATTTCTCAGTTCCTTTTTCCCTTTGCAGGAGGGACGGACAGTCCCTGGTGCCTTAAGGCTGGCCCACAGCTCCACCAGGCCCAGGCCTTCTGCTGTGCTTTGCTGACCCTCTTCTGTGCTCTCTTTGGACAGTTTCATTTGGCCCCACCTCTCCCCGAGTACTTCGCTTACTTACTAAGCTGTAGAATAGGAGGTTCTGCACTCAGGTATAAATCTTCTGGGAGTCCTGACTCTTTCTCTACATCAGTTGTCAGATTTCAGACTGTCAGTGCTTAAGAGCATATATGGTACTCATTTCTTAAAATACAATTTAGAAAATTCTTAATTATTCCTTTTACTAGACACAAGTTGTACAAAAGCTGGCAGAGATGCTCAGAATCTATACAGAAGTGGAAAAAACACAAAACACTTCTAAGTGAAGATGTACAGTTGAATCAGATTGGAAGTAAACACATAGTTCAGTTTGAAGGATTTCAGAGTCCTTCCTGGGAAGCGAATCCTTTTTTTCCTGGAAGGGACAAGTGCTACTTTCTGCAGAAACAGAGCTCTGGGGACCCTTGTACGGCTGGGGTTATCCAGGACACAAATGCCTCAGTTTCTAACTGGACTTGAGAAAGTGCAACAACAATGGGGACCACAGAAGAACAGTAATCCAACAATCCTTTTGCCATGTTTGGCAGATAATGCCTCCTCTTAGGGGCAGCAGTTAGCTTTTTAAAATTGCACAGGTTAGGTTTTATTTAGAACATTTGTTAACTGGAATATTCCCAATATAACTCAGAAAAATCTGTCCCTCAAAATTTCAGTGGCAGGTCAACTGTGAGGCAGTTGACACATTAACCAAAGGTTATTTGTGGTGCTATAAAGCCTCATGTTTAATACCAGTTCTTTTGCAGTGATCTCCTCTCACATGACTGATTTATTCAGTGGTCACTGCTTTGAAAAACAAGCCTCTGCTAATACCAATATTGAAGGTAGAATTTAGAAAGCCGGAGCCTTTGGAACAGCTGTTTACCTCAGATATTTCATCAGTGTGTCTGTCTCTGTAGGACCAGTGCCTCTGTGGGAGAGGTTTGAACTTTTCCGAACTTGAAAAGCTATTATTAAAACAATTAGTGTTTCAAAGAAAGCCAAAAAGACTCAAAAGTAAGGCTAAGCCTCAGTAAAGAAAAAAGTGCCTTTAAACATGTTAGTGTTGCTACTTAGTATTAATTATTTAATATCCATGATTGATAAGCAGTCAAAATGTGTAACTTTTTGGTTCAACAGCTTATCTATACAGTCCTGTATGTGTCATTGACCAAGAGCTCTTAAAATAAGTGGCTGTATTACAAAAGGTCCTCAGCCTGAATTCAGCTGCCAAGACAAGCACTTTTTAGCTGTAGACATTACCCTGTAAAAAGTATTTGTTGCCATTCCATTTGTAAAATGACACCAGCAACTCTTTGTGTAAAGAAATAAGCAATTATTAAATATAATCATCGTGTGTATGTTTGTTCTTTCATATACCAAGTTTTCCAAGTTTTTTATGGCCATGCATCCAACAATTAGTACGCTGTAGGTCATCTTCTCCTACTCCAAGGACAGGCAGCTTAACTGGCAGCCCAGCTTTTTCTGAGTGTTTCACTGTTGGCATCACCCCCAGGTATGGTTGGTAGAGCTGATCAAATGGAGCAGAGTGTACCTGTCACTTCCCTGAGTGCTGGCAAAGCCCAGCACAGGGGCTGTTCAGAACCAAGCCCAAGCAAGGCAGAGCTGTTACACATGCACAGCTCGTGCCAGGTGCAGTTTGGGTTACCTACATTAAGCCATCCCAACAGCTAAACCAGCACTTGTTGGCAGTGATCATGACAGGGACAGTCACCACACACATGTGACAAGTGCAGTGCTTGGCTCTGCAGAAACAGCAGGACTGTAGTGTTTAACTCAGGTTAAACACTCTTTTTTCCTTTGTCATTGCTGTAATAATTACACAGAAAATTACTTCCTGTTTCACTACCAAATTTACCTACTGCTTAATTTTTCAGCCCATGAGAATGACCCTATTATGGGAAGGATTAGTGCAGCCCTCCTCCATGTTACGTTGACCTTCAGCCCATTACACAACTGCCATTTCTACTAAAGCAATAAAGCTGCCACCAATTTTCAAATGAGAGAACATCTTTTCTGCTATATACAGAAACAGTGGGTTCTTTTATCTATCAGTTTCAGTTACTCGTTGTATCTTTATAAAGCCACACTGAAGAAACAAGACTTAAAAATGTTTTCTATATAATGGGCTTGAAACATTCGTATATTCTTTATTTCTAGAGTGCATTCTGGATATTAAAATCCTTGGCAGGGCATAGAAAAACAGCTGAGTATTCTAAAATTAATTCATTGACTTAATGCCAGTTATTATCAGATCAAAACTGCTATTTAGTATGCAACCTAAATTCCACTCCCCTGAACAAAGCATTCAGCACCTCTGAACACACACAGTAAGCCTGTGCTGGGGAAGACCTCAAACCCCCAAGAGCACTGACTGCCAACCTACACAGCACATCCATCACTCCAACCACCTCCAGCTGTGGCTGATTTACACACAATGATCCACAGGTGATTGTCTTGAATTCCCTCTGAAGGTAAATGCTGACACATCCTGAGTATCTTGTCAGTGCAACTGTCAAATTCCTCACTTAATTCACAGAGGGTGTAAGATATTCCAAGTACTCTAAGCCTCTTCCAGAATGGGAAGACATGGCAAGATCTAGACAGGCATCCCAACTCAGACTGCAGGCATTATGCATTTAATAGAACTGGAAAAGAAGAAATGTGTTAGGCTCTGTATCTTCAAGGACAGTATGCTCAAATGAGGTCTTCATTCACCTGGGGTAAAATTCATCAGCTCACTGATACTGAGCCTTATCCTCCTCCTGTAAAGTGTTACAACTGAGAAATTAACTGACACCAGTAATGCAATTAAAAGCCTTTCATCTCTAGACACCACTTTAGATATGGTCCAAATCACAGTGATTAGGAAATGACCAGATGCTTTTACCCTCTATAATGAGGCGTGTGTAATAGTGTCTCACTGCAGTATTTTCTAAGTATCATCTCCTCCACCACCACAAGGACATGACCCCAAGCTTTGGGTGTGCTGCTGTCTCACCTTTACAGGCCATCAGTCTGTCACTGCTGGAACACCACCTTCCCATAATGACCAGCAGGTAACTGTTCTTCATGGAGGATGGGTACAAAGGTGGAGTTCCTTGTCCATTACACTCACTTAAAACCAGCACTGAACTATCAGCAATGGGCCTGTGGTTAAAAGGGGGAAATGGAAATTAACATTTTCTACTCATAAAAAAAAACAACCAAACACCAAACAAGTTTGTCCCTGGCACAAAAGCAGTGGTCCTAAGGTTTTCTCCAGTATTAACTTTTCAAATAACAAGACTAGAGCAAAAATCAAAGTTTCCTTACTGTGGCATTTACCTTCTGTCAGATGCTGTTCACGTAGCCCATGGCTGACTTCACTGACGGCCAAAAGAGCACCACCCTTAAAACACCCCCCCCCAAATCCAGTCACTCTCCAGATGTGCAAATAACACAGGAAGAACCAACTCATAAACAGCAAGTTCCACCAGCACTGTGCCAATCCCCTGCCAAGCACGCTGCCCAGGCCAGGAAGTTGATCAGACCCTCAAAAACACCTGTGCCAATATTCCTTGCACCAAAAGAACAGTTCCTGTTCAACAACAGAACAGAGGAAACCACTTGGCAATTCCAGAACCTCAAGGAGAAAAACCCCATAAAATATGAAGAAAAATATTTCAACATTAGCTTTGATAAACATGTTTAATAATCTGCTACTTTACAGGACAGCTATTTAAAATCAAAGACCCACAGTTCTGACCTTGAGACACCAACAGCCAAGTTTGTTCAGCCTGCCAAGTACTGACCAAGAAGCTCAGAGCTGTGGTTCTGCTAAAAACATTGTACAAAGTGAGTCACTGTCTGTCCACACTGCACTGGAGCTCATCAGCAATAGCCAATGTTTCCAAACGTGTGCAACTCCCACAGGCAAAGCCAAACACTTGGTTTCATTACCCTGTTCCCAGGCGACAAGTTTCAGGCACTGCACACATGCATTTCCAACCCGCCCTCCAACAAGGTCACCGATTCCTCTGCAGTGACACTGGTCTTACCTCCCAAAGAACAAAGTGTTCCAAACACACAGTGGGTGTAAATCCTTGCTCCAGGAGCAATCCAGACCTTGCAGAAGTTCTGGACTGCACACAAACGCACAGCTTGGTGCTTTCCATGAAGCACAACACATGACTGCACAGAATTACCACTCTCCCTAATGAAAAGTGAATGCACATACACCACAAATTAAAAATTGTTCCCTATTCCCAGGAGAAATTTGGGAAATTTAAACCAAATAAGAAAAAATAGAATTCTATTTATTCCATTTGCTCCTTGGTTTCAGAGAAGTTAAAATAGGTGTCAATACAGACACAGCATTTTTTCTTCCATAAGACAGTCTGCAAGTCAGAACTGCATTTCATGCCCATTCCACAATATTAATCCAGATCAGTCCAAGCCCAACCCTCCAAATAAGGAAGAGGAATCCGTGTTTTGGAGAAAATGACAGCTGAAAAGAAAGCCCCCACCCCAAGTTTCCTGTGAATAGAGCAAGTATCTTCCCTTCCCTCCTTCCCATGGTGTGTGAAGGGATGGTGCTCCCTGCTGTGAGTGAGTTCAGCGCTGCCATTGCAGGAGCTGCCAGCCAGGGGTGGGGCTGTGCCAGCCCAGGAAGACTAGAACAGCTTCACCAAAACCAATTTCACAAGTCATCTGGCTTGAGTTTCCAGAGGAATTCATTTCAGGAAAAACAAGACTAAGAAAGAGATTCAGAGATGGGGCATAGGATGAGGCAAGAAGCCATTACCTCCTCAGCGGGTGGGGAAGCCCCCTCGGTGGGTCCCTCCTCGGCCCCCTCGGAAGCCACCCCGCTCACCCCGGAAGTTCGTTCTGTTCCTCTCTCTGCCCCTCTCTCCCCGGCCGGCCGCAGTCCCTCCTCGGCCTCCTCCCCTGGGAGCGCCCCCGCCCCGGTCAGACTTGGACTTGGGCGGCGGCGACTTGGGCCGCAGCCGCTCGATCTCCTCGGTGCAGCCCGTCAGGTGGGAGTTGGGAGCCGTGAAGTACGAGGAATATGTCTCTGCATTGAAGTTGCTGTTGGTGAGGGTGGGTCCCACTGTCAGCCAACCTGGGGAAGAAAACCAGAGTCAATAAAAGCAAAAACAAACTTCATGCTTCCGAGGCCACTATTGTCCTTTTTCCACTCAATGGACACTCAAGTGACAGGGAGAGACACTTGCCTACATGTCACCTGTACTGAATGGAATGAAAAGGTTGCCTCTAGGGAAGCAAGATCCACTTCCCCTGGTACCAGACTAACCTGATCAGTAAATTCATCTAATTTAAAACAACACCATCCTTCTCCCCTTTTTAAAAGTTGCATCAGTTATAAATATTTATAAATATTGCGTGTTTATTGCATACAGTATTGCAAATCTGTGCAGATCGCTCATGAGGGAGAGGTTAAAGGAGGATTTGAGGGGGGACTTTGTTTAACGAAGAGGATCAGTTTCTGGTATTGGGGAATTTCTCTCTTTAGGGGCCCAGGGTAACTTGATTTAGGTAACTTTGTCTCCAGAACTCAGTTGTGACAGTGCAGCCAAGAGCGCAGCCTGCTGGAAGCACACCTCTGAAAACATAATAAAATAACTCTGCTGAAGCCCACATGGTATGAAAACAGACCTTACAGAATTAAATTAGCCTGTTTATAGAAAAACATTCAATGGGCACTTCAGCTTCACACCAAGTGAATCAAGACAGGCAAGCATTAAAACAAGCTCATTCCTATTTCTTTTAAAACTACAGTTTTGTGACTGACGGATCTTCACATACACCAACAATGTATCTCCTTGAGATCCACAGGTCTGACCTATGACACAGGTCTGGAAACCTCTTGAGGACACTGACATGAATTTTACAAGCAGGGAATTCTGCTATCCTGTATTACACATGATAAAGACATTTCAATTTTTAGAGCTAGTGTGGAGATTATTTCACTTTTAAGTCCAGAAAAAAAAGCTTAATGGAAAGGAAATATTCAGAAAATGAAAAGACAGAAATTACACTTTTCAGTAGTCCAGTAGAAAACTGAGTAACTGCAGCATTTATCTTCAATTAGAGATAACATGGAGAACAAAAGCATAAAGGTCTTACTGTAGCAAGTATTTACTTCTAAAAATGAATATCTCTAAAACAAAAAGCCTTTTCTATGATCTTGCTCCCAAAGATGATATTAAAATTGTAACTTAACTGTACTATTGTTTAGAAGGGTTCTCTATGATGCTCCTGCAACACAGGCTGAGGATTCACCCCAAGACAGACATTCTTGCCAAGAAAATACTTGTATGAGATGTTTAGTTCTAGCAAAGCTTTCTGCTTATTGACCACAAGGGACAGAGCAGAAGTCAGTTTGCCACCATAACAGTGTTGGGAGAACAGACAAGTGATGCAGTTACACACAAAAATACACAGTTATCCAGCTGGTGTGAGCCCTGGCAGAAGGAGAATGCATTAGGATTAACCATTATTGCCTCAGCTCCCAGCAGAACCCAACAAGTGGCCTGGGACGATGGAAGGAGGTTATTGAAGCCCATTAAAATGTAACTACTTGCCCAAACCCAAGGTAACAGTTACCTGGTCGGATTGTACTGTCCCTTCCAAAAAGGTGAAGCCGTCGTCGTCCAAGGCAGAAATGCTCAATAATGTGAAAAATCTCCACAGGTTTTTCTATGTTGCCGATTTCAGGCTCCTCGGTGATGATGAGGTCGATGTCGACGTTGGCGTGGATGAAGTCCCCGTCTGTGCTGCGGCGCACGGTGCCCTTGATGCCCATGAGGCAGTGCTCCTGTGACACACACAGCACTGTCACATGCCACACGTACTGCTGTGGCAGGCTTCGAGCACAAACAGTTTTCAAAGTTCTCAGTCACTGAACAGACAGCAAATAACGTACTTTTTCATACTGTACCTCTTACAAAAGTAGCGTCACCCTCAGATTCCTTTCTAGAAGATATTACTGCATAAAAAAAATACAGCCACCATCAAACTGTCAATTCATCAGCATTAAAAATGTTCTTGAGCTGTAACAGCCATTGCCTCCTTCCTCTGAAACACTGCAGATCAATTTAAGTGACTGGTATGTGGCATCCATGAATGAGGAATCACCACGATTGTTAGAGGATGAAAAGAGGCTCCTACATACTCATTTCAGAGCTCTGTTTCTGGGAACATCAAGCTTGGATGAGCGATGTTCCCCAGGATCAAACACACTGACTCACTAAGCGCCGCCAGATGGCTCAAAAAAAAGTTGCAGACAAGAGCATGTAATCATTCCCAGATTTTGGGAAGGGTTTTCAGAGTTGGCAAGTAAATATGAAAGTCAGAAGAGCTGAGCTATCAAATCTATGCAGTTGGTCAACTGCACTCGAGCAACAGGGGTGTTGGACCTTGAATTTAAAGAGGCAGAATACTGCTAACAAATTACTCATCAGGCAAAGACTTGTAGATCTAGTCCTCAGCAGAACTACTTGGAACATTTACTTCCATACCACATGTCATTCACTCATACCTCAGATTCTCTAACTGCTGGTGGCCCAGCACAAAGCACCCATCTAGAGATGCCTCAACTAACCAGAATGGAACAGCATTTGCTGCTGTAACCACTGCTAAGTACACCTTGCCCAGCAGCCTATTTATTTAGTCAGAACAAACTCGCTCCATTTCCAGTGTTTATCACAAACGGTGACCTCAGCCCAACCCTCGCCCCATAAACAGAGAAATTCCCCAATACCAGAAACTGTTCCTCTCTGTTAAACAAAGTCCCCCCTCAAATCCTCCTGTGTCAGCTTTAACCTCTCCCTCATGAGCGAGCTGCACAGATTTGCAATACTATATGCAATAAACACGCAATATTTATACTTACAAATATTTATAACTGATACAACACACTTTCAAACAAACTTCAGACTAATGCAAATGCAAGTCAATGAAAGATTCCAGATATCTCAAAGGGAAGTTTATACTCCTAAAAATGGCAAATCTGAGACAGGGTTGAGGGTGGTTAATGCTAAGGAATGATTAATGAATGAGGAATGAGTCCTGAGGTTAACTGACAGTTGGAATTATTAAACTGCCAGCCAACTCTCTTTTCAGTTAAACTGCCAGTTACACCCACATATACCCAAACCAATTATTTATTAATCCCATCTACATTTCTCTAAGTTTCAAATAACTTACATTTGAGCTTTTTAAATCAGAACAATTTTTTTTCTCTGCATTTCTTTCAATACACATCCTCCAGAATGCATCCCTAAAAAAGTGTTTGTTTTAAACCAAGCTGACCCATTCACCTTTACAATCACTTCGGGGAGTCAGGAGATCCTGGCTGAGCTCTGGTCTCTCACAGTCCTCTCTCTGCTTCTAACTCTGGGCACATACCTGCACATGTGCATTTAGAACCAACAGCCAGCCTTCTATAGTTATTATTCTTTTGACATTAAATTTAGTCAAATTCTATTGCTAAGTTTAGATCCGTGAAACATGCTTTGGAGAAGAGAACTCTGAAGTTCTCGTGCCTGCTTTCCCAAAAGCCTGTCACCAACTACTGTGGAGCACCAGGTGTTTCATTAGCAGAGACAGACAGGATGGAAACAGAGGAGCGATGGAGCCAAACCCTTACCTTGGTTCTTTGGAAAACAGCCTTAGGGTCTAGAGTCTTGGTCTTTCCAGGATTGTTCTTATTTGTTTTAATCCAGCAAATGTCCTCACATCTTCTGTAACCCCATTTGCGTAGACACTAAATATCATAAAAAAAACCAGTTCACACTACATCAAAAACTGAACACTCATATAGGTACTTGACTTTTCTGAAATCATAGCTGGAAATCTGTCACAGATGAATGACAGTGTTTACTGGCACGAATGACACGTGTGTTGTCAAGCTGCCCCTAAAAATTAAAGAGGCTTATGTGCACATTGATTTGTCTACATATCATCTTTTTTTTAAATACTTAAAAAAATTTTATCTCAATTTAAGACACAGTAGCACCTTTCTTCTGGAATGAATATTTCTGGCAAAAAACTATTGAGATTTCTGTTAAAAAAGCTGTAAAAGCACTCAGGATGGTAACCTGCTCCTATGAAAACCGAGACAGCAGTACAGCTTTCCTGTACTGGAAATTATGTTTGGAATTATGTTTCCTCTCCAGACCCTATGGAATTATGTTTCCTCTCACATTCAATGACAGTATCTAAACACTTAATGCCACTTAAAATTACATATCCTCTACCACAGTAACAAAACGTCCCTCAGGAGTTACCACTGAGAATTCTATACAGGAAAAAGTCAACGATAAAAATAAACTCTTAAGCCTGTCCCTGATAAATTGAATTAAAACATCATCTTACCACTCGGCCGAGATCCAGACCCTCGCCTGACCCGCACCACAGAAACACAAATGACCTTGGGGCTGCAATTTCTTCAATTTCCAATTTCATGATCTAATAATAATAAGAGCAATAATAGTGTTTCTGAATTAAATACAAATCACCAATTATATCAGGAAGAATACTAAGTCTTGAAGCAATGTCACAGGCAGCACTGTTTTGGAGATGTTAGCCTGTATACACTCACAGCCAAACTTTTAAATTTGTTTTCCAGAAAGTATCTTGTAAAAGTTACCTTGCCAGTACCCAAGTGCATGTATACAACTCTGCTGGTTTTGGCTGGGGTAGAGTTAGTGGGTTAAACTATGAAACAAATATTTAATACAAAATGTTTCTTTTCATCCATGGAATTACTCATGAAGGTTGTGAAGACACCTTATAAAAATCCCAGTTTAACTCCTATCACTATAAAGAAAGACATTCTCTCCATTTTCCCTTTCAGGAAAAAAAGCAGCAAGAATTTTCAAGGACAGTGGTTCAACTCTGACAAATCAGTAACATTCAAGATGAAATAACTTCAGATGCAAAGCATCTGTTAGTCATTACAACTTGAAAGGATTCATCTATAGCTTGCTAACACATCAAATCAAGCTTCATTCAGTGCCACTGTGAACAAAAGTAATGCAGTAGAAGCCAAACTATGACTCCAACACTCCCAGTTTTTCTGTTAGGATAGAATGTTTTTTCCCTGGGCAACATGGCCAAGCACCATTTGTGCCTGATGTAAGAGACTGGCTAACACAGACACCTACTCCTTCACATAGTTACCCAGTCTCTCATCACATCACAGGCATGAATGACTTGGTTTTCAAACTCACTCCTTAAAGGTAGCTTGAATTTGATTTTGTTCTCATGATCCTTCAGTTTGACTGACTGCTTTTCCAGAGCTGACCTCATGGAAAAGGGAAAGATACAGAATGAACTATCACTACACCACTGAACTGATTAAACACTAAGGGAATATATAACTACAAGAAAAAACCTTCCATGGCTGAGGTTTTGTTCACAAGTTCTATTTTGTTAGGCTTCTAAAGCTAACAATTGGTTTGACTGTTAAAATTTCCTACTCAGACAATACTTGGAGAAAGGAGGATGTCAGTGAAGGAGTGAGCTTACCTATTTGCTTAAACAGATGTATGAAATCTTTTCCGCAGCAAGAAAAGTACTTACATCATCCCAGGTCCAGCATTTTTCATTGGCAGTAATGCCAGTCTCCCGGTAGTATTCTTCCAGTGGTGGTTCCAGGAGAATCACATCAAATTTGGACTTCAGTTCCCTAATATCAAATGCTTCCAAGTCTGCTTGTAAATACCTGTTTGAACAGAAGATGATAGAACTGTTTGGACAAGGTGTAAGAATGGTTTGAAAATTACACTCCACATGGCACTTCTGTGCAGCCAGTTAAGAGCAGGGTCTCCTGTGTGGTTCACACAGCTCAAAGGCTCTAAATGTAGAGGAGACCCATAGCACATCCTCAAGGATGGATCCTAAATTGAGGCTGGATGCTGTTGCATTACATTTTTAAGTAGTCTTCCTCTTAAATAAACAGATTTTAGGATCCTCATTTAGCAAGCAGCAAGCAGATGCCCACACAGACCGTACAGCAGCATCTAGTACAGATTCACTGAAGTTTCTGTACATCCATGGACTATTTAGGAGGAAACATCAACACTTAGGAAGCAAACACTGTTAGCCTGGCTAACAGATTTCTGTTTTGCTTCACTTTGGGAAGTGTCATATTTCTAGAATTGCCATTTTTCATATATTATGTTCAAAAGATTCTGAAGGCTGGACACGCTTTTCGGGTAACAAATCAAGACTCCCACACGCATTGATTTTATTAAATGCACAAACAACACTCTCATGACTCTCCTCCACACCTGCCCATCACTCACTGCTGCATCACTATCAAAAAATGACACTGCCCTCCCCTAAAAACCTTAAGGAAGCTGATCAGCAGATCACCACCTCCCCCTTCCCAAAAAGTGTGTGCAAGAGATTATGATTCTCTATGTGTATTTGGTGTCATCAGAAGGCAGCACTGGATTACTGTTTTCCCCCCTTCAGTGCTTTAAGGCTAAAGAATGCCAAAACACACCTAACTTAGAAGAGCAAGTTGAGTCCTGCAATTTGCACCTCAGTTGTTCGGACAACTATTCCAGAGGTTGTGTGTGACTATCACTCAGTAAGGCTGTTTTCTCAGTACAGATTAGGACTGCTGTATATCACAGGCATTAGGCTGACATTCAGGCAGGTCTGAATTCCTGGCAGTAACATGCTGCACACTTATGCTGTGTCTGACATCCAGCAAAAACTCAGAGGTAATCCCAAGTCAACAGGACAAACGACTTCCAGTCAGCCTAAACATTTTTGGGCTTCAGCTGCAAAGTAAACATCTAATTAATGGGTACTAAGGTAATAGCTGAACACTATACAAAAACCAGCTGGTACAAGAACAAAGAAGGTTATCTTTAGAGGCCAATTTTTTAAGGCTTTTCTTATTATTGTAAACAGCATGACAACATGAGATTCACAACCACATTGCATTCTTTTAAATCCCAGACTAAAGCCTGCAGGGCAATCAGTTGACAGTTTGGTCAAATCAAAGCTTTAGATACTATAAACAATCACACACTGCAAAGAAAAACTAGTTTATATACTATATTAAAAATCTAGATTAAAATAACAGAAACAAACTAATCTTGTTCTTCTATGCTTCAATTGATTAATTTGTATAAACAGAAAAAGAAAATGTAAATTCTAAGCAGGTGCTGAAGATAGAGATTTGCAAAGCAGACAGCTAACTTCAAACAGGTCTGGAGAAGAAAGGCATTTTCCACAAGAACACTTACATGGGAGGAGTGTTAGATTTAGATATCAGCTCATCCTTCAATCTGATGAGCTCTCTAAGTTTTGGATATTCTTCAAACCTATCTGCTAAGCCTAAGAAGAAGAAAACATGAAGTTAACAACTACTTAACAGAGTATATCTCTATCAATTAAGCATTGTCCAGTATTCTGAATAGGTCCAAATGTTAATACTTAGCCTTATTTTAATTTTTGTTAGAACAAACCAAACCCTTCAAAGCAGTTTTTTGTTCAGTACTTGACAAAGTACTGTCCTCACCCAGCTAATTATGGCTGTTCCTAATGCAGTGTCTATGCTCCAATCTTCTCTAGAGCACTACAGAGAGCAGGAATTTACAGCTCCTATTACCAGAAGAAAACAACCTCTCACTTAAACTAAAAGTCCCAGGATGATGAGAGAAAGCTATTTTGTTATCCATATCTGTAAGTTTCTGTTAAGATCTAACTAACATTAATTTACAGAATACTCTTACTTAACCTTTGAAGATTGGGGTGTGGCTGGTTCCCTGAGGCAAGCCTTATATTGAGATTTGGTGCTCTGGTGCCAGTCAAAGATTTGAACACATGTTCCTACTCTTAGCTTTATGATGTCAATTTTTCAGCTTTTCTTTAAGGCCATGTCCAGTTGTGAAATAGCACCCAAGCAGAGTTTTGATCATCATGTAGAAAATGTTTCTGACCAATACTGACCCTGATATTCCTCAGCTCCAATAAAGGCTCTGGACTCACTGCTGCTGACATGCTCACTTCCACATTAACACTTGCATAAGCCTTTGTCCTGTCCCTTCCCAATTCTTTAGGCAGCGGAGAAGTCGTGGTAAATAACACTGGCTGCGATTTCTTCGGACTCGTTTCAAAGAACAGAGCAGAACTACCTCAAGTACTTCAGCACAAAGCCCAGGTGCTTTTCGGATAAAGACATAACTGAGTCCATTTTTCACAAAAAATATCCAAATGTGTTCCACAAAATATAGAGAAGAAACAAACTAAGGCCTCCCCAGGCAAACAAAACCTCTTCGGGCTGCCACCTATAAACACAGCCCACTTTCCCTGACAAGCTTAAACTTGTTAAAATACAGAGAACTGTTGCATAAAAGTGCAGAGGGAGGTGTCCTGCTTATTTTAAAATCCAAATAACTACCATGCACCTACTCTGGGAAACAGGACCAAACTGTACCTTAGTTACAGAAAGATTAAATCCAGGCCTAATGAAGCATCATTTCAATAACAAGTTCAGTGACGGCTGGATACATGTAAACTTAGAAAATAACATCCTCTAAACTTAGGCCTTCTAATGAGCTGTCAGCAGTTACAAAATTTAGCTGGTAAACATTATCCATATTGCTTACTGACTTCAACATATGTAAACTTCCATACTTTACATGCTACACACATTCTTAAGAGGCATTACAGCAAGTCTGTCACTCAAACTTGCAACAGTTTCAAGATCTGCTCATTAAACTCATCTACTTTGTGGAATCAAAAGAGCTTGGTTTTGAAAAAAATCTTCCTGTTAAATACTTTCAAGTAAAACCAAAGGTAAGAGCAGCCTAGGCAATAATCACCTCCTAACTGATGAAAAATAAACTCATTCACAGAAACGTCTATATTGATATGTATTCACAGGCAGAGACACAACCGGGGAGTATATGTATAGCTGTACTTCCCAGCAACTGTAAGGAATTTAAAAAGGGGAAGAAAGAGAAGTGCTATCAAAGGAGTTCTCTTCAAACAGTCACTGACTGACATACCAACATCTCTGATGAAGTTCTGAGGTCTGTGGCCTGTATCCACAAAGTGCTGGCAGTAATCGTTGTGTGGATTTAAGCTCTGAGTGCCCTGGAGAACAGAAGGAGTTCAGTGAGAGCAACGGGCAGATAACTGCACACACACACACACACACACACACTACATGTGCCAGTCTGATAAACAACAAAATAACAGGTTATTTTCTTTTCAACATGCCTTTATAAGTTACACCAGTCAAGACCATCATTTTAGTTCCAAATCAGGCCCACCATTACTGCAGCTCATCATGATTTGACTCAGACCTTTAGTCAGGATCAATGTAACACTAGTTCCAGTCATATCTTTCACAGGAAACTTCCCTACTTGTGAATTCTAGTCCATTACATCAGCCTTTAAAGCTGTATATCAAATACCATCAACTGCAGAAACAGTTTAACCCAACTATGCCAGCTTTGAAACACTTAAAATTGCAAAAGCAGCTCACCTTAAGAAAGGTACTGGAATCTTTGTAAATCTCTTCTTCATAGGGCAGGTTCTCCTCATCTTGCTGCAGCTCTACTTCATCCTTGGAAATGAAGCAGGTATTACCAGTATGCAAGATCATGCTCCTTTCCTTACAAAGCACAATCATAACGAGAAGTGGGCTGTCTACAAACGGACATTTCCTAAAACAGCACATCATGAATGGTTTCAGCTCCAGTTTTGGAGGGGAAAAAAACATTACCTATTCTTAAAAAGGTCTGCACCTCTCTCAGTAATGAGGTGGGAAAGGCCCCTGAAAGAAGAATAAAATAAGAGCCCCTTAATTTCTAGCCCATGACAGTGCAGCCAGTGCTTAATAAAGTGTAGAATTTTTAATTTTTGTCCCCCAAAACGTTCACTCCTTGGACTGAAACAAATAATGTATTTTGTTGATATTCTTCTCTATTAGAACTTTTGAGCATTTATATCCACTCAATCATCTCTAATTTCCAACCCTGGCAGCAAAGTCCACAGTCTGCAGAAACAGCTCACGGTACAAAGTCAGTATTTCATTTCGACTGTCCTTAAAAGCAACTTTAAAATTTCCATTTTATAGCCCCCAAATTTACAGGAAACAGAAAATGTATTGGAATTTTTTTCCCCTGTTGGTGAGTTCATTCAACAGATTTCTGGAGTTCAGAGATCTGTTACACTGATGTATTCTGAACATCTAAAAGAGAACTCAGAGGGAACAAAAAGAAAAGAGAGACTCAATTCTTCACATCACTTTCTGTTTTCCCACTGATCCCAAACCAACCCAGTATATAGATACATAAATATATAAATACAACTGAAGAGCTACTAAATAATATCATCTCCCATATTATTACAGCTTCATTTACCCTGCACTACACAAGCTGTCTGAATGTAGAATGAAAAATTAAGTCTTCTCCCTCTATTTTGATCCCTCTAACTGTTAAAATCTTATCATAGCTTTCTTGTTATTTCCAAATTGGAGCTTTAAATCAACTTCTGAAATGCCTGTTGTGATAAACAGGTCAGATACCCCTTCCTCAATATTCTGGTGAAGAATTTACAGAGATACACTCTTTTCATTTGTTTGTTTAACCAGACCAAAAATATTATTACCAGAAACAGCAACACTGTTTGCAAGGAAAAGAAATTAAAGCAGACAAGCAGCAGCAAGTCTTACTCAGGCCAAAAAAAAATAGCTGAAAGCTTGAGTTTTACTAAAAACTGATGCTTATGCCATCAGTTACACCTGTTTCCCCTCTTCCACCTTTCTCTAAATCTCGGCCTTCTAATGATAAGCACCTGCCAGATACCACTTGAGTCACCCCAGTTCTCTTTATGCCTTCACAAGTGATTTAAAAAGAGTCCTGTGGCCACAAAACCCCACACCACCAACTTTCAAAGGGAAAACGGCACAGCCCAAACAGAGATAGAATGACACAGGTTCTCCTCCATTAATCATCCTTGTTTTCCAAGTCATGCAGGGTATTGCTGAGTTAGGGAAACAAAAACTACCCACAATAATCAAACACAATTTTTTTTTCAAATTACTAAAAATACATTAAGTAATTACCATGATTCAACCAAGTAAGATCTTTGCAGCCTCCACAACAATGGCATGGAAGCATCCCAAGCTCGCAGGCCACTGCTTGCAGAAACAAAGTAAAACTGGGCTGTCTCAAATTAGGCTGGCAGACAGTAAAACTAAACCACAGGTGTTTCTGTACTTCATACAAAGTTAAAACTCCACAAAACAGACACTCATACAGGTTCAAACAATTGAGTGAAATCACCTGGGGGTGCGGCAACAACCCCAGCTCTCAGAAGGCAGTGAAAAGCCTGGCAGAGGCAGCAAACTGTTCAATCCCATTGTCTGCCACTTCCAAATACAGACCAGGGAGCTCAACTAACCCTGGTACAACTGGTACAGTTCCACCAGAACACGAGTATTTTAGGAGTTCTTTAGAACCACAATTCAACTTTCTGACCTTAAAATATCCCTTATTCACTTTTGCCTTTAGTGCATCTCTTCCCTATCTCCAACCCCTACGGTGCCAAGGCAAACTGCCAGCAGGAAGCTGAACAAGCAGCCCCACTGCCCTTTGTTTTCACATCAGCCTGATGCTTATGAAGAACCACCACCGTAAATTTGCACTTATTCTACAGAAAAACCAAAACCAGACCCACAAAAAAGCGCCCCCAAATTAAAACATATTGCCTTTTTTTTTTAATCTCAAAAACTGCTCTCATGCTTCCCCCTTATAACAAAAAAGCCAATGCTACTGTTCAGCCTTCTCTCAAAGCATCAGTGTAAGGCCTTTGGGTGTCACTGGCTCACTTTAGCGAGCCAGGGATACAGAGACAAGGCACTTTACATCAGAAACACCCCAAATTTTCCTAACTGACGAATTTGTGGTATTTGCTCTGAACACTAATGGTTCAAGTCTATTACTTTTGTCTAAGAAGCATTAAACACAATCCAACAGGGATTGATACTGTAAGGATCTAGATATTTCTATCAGTTCATATTACAAGACTAAATTTAAACAGGCTCAAAGTGCTAAGGAAAAAGTTATATAAATACAAATGGAATTTTACTGTTCTGATCTCCTTGCCAATAGGGAATTAGCAATGTCTGCAGGAAACAGCTGATGTCTCCACTATAGATGTTCTGCTTGTGGGTTTTAAGTTTCTTAAGTCTATTCATCTGTTCGACTGAATTTGGTCCGAGCCAGTGTTATTAAAATATTCTTCAATTTCAACAATATAGCAAGAGTCTGGTTACTTAGAAGTGGTTACATCCACCTCAGGGTAAGTCTTCCCCACACTAATGAAGAAAATTCTAATGATAAGTCATGTACTTTGCCAACTCAAGTGGCTTATCCACATATACTTCACAGGTAATTAAAATTTAGTTCTTTATCCACATACTTGAAGGACTAAAATAAACTGACATGAACTGATCCCTAATGCAAGCATAAAAATTCCACTTCACAAACACTCTTCTGCGAGCTCATGACTTGTTTGCTGAACAAGAGGTACAGACTAACACTTTGCATGATAATAAACAATATCTGTCCCTTTACAGATAGACTTTAAAAAATTAGTTGTCAAAAAACATCCTGTCATACATTAACTTTTTGGTTTAGTAAGAAGATAAGACATTACAGAAGGATTTATAAAGCTGAGCAAAAATGAAACGCAACGAAGCAAAATTTCAAAAATTGCTATTTTTTTAGGCATCCAAGAGAACAGCAGACAATGCATAATTTAATAAATACACTGATTCTATGTAACCACAGAAGCAAGGCTACTAGGACATGGGAAAAGGGCAGAGGGAGGATATATGCTGCAACAAGATCCCAAAACAAACCATAAACACAGCTGTATGATAATCATGCCTTTGTTCGACCTCTTTCTACCATCCATCTTAGCCAAAACGCTGCATTGGATATGAATGGAGAAAGCTGCCAAACACCTCTGGGATGAGCATTTGAAAAATTAAGGGCATGAGAGTTTGACAACACTTCATTGACCATGGAGGCATTTTGTTTTGTTTTGTTTTTTTAACTAAACTTTTCTTGGGCATTTTACATGCTTGAAGCACACCCCAAACCAAGCCTCTTATTTCCATTCCCTTAGAGTCCCTTGTTTCTTCCATTTATCCAGAACTACATTACTTGGCACTTAACAGACAGGTCAGAAGGCACCCTCAGCCTCCCCATATCTCATCCCACGGCCTGTAGCTCCTTCTAACTACAAGGTTTTCTTTTGACACAACATAATTCTGGTCAAGGGTTTTTTTGTGTGTACCCAAGAGCACCCACGTTTTATCACTTCCAGGAGCAGTGCTAAAACAAGCCTGAAAAATTGGGTCCTGGAGCATGTGCAGTTCAATGCACCTATGCCTGAAGAGAACCACGTAGCATCGACACCTCGGATGCCCCTGAGGGACACGCATATTAGAAGTATCTATACACATCACATCTATTTTTATATGCACGCATATATATTTTAGAAGTCCCCCAGGGACACAAGAACACCACAGAAAAGTAATTTTTTTCTTTTTTTCCTTACCTTATATTCTTCAATCTCTTCCTCATCCGCTTCCCCCTCATCTGGATATTTACGTTTTGCGTTTGGTGCAGAAGTATCATAAGCAGCCCTGTGAACAGCCCAAAAAAAAAAAAATCCTCATATTTTCAGAAATCTTTGATAATCTGCCTTGACTACATGCTTCTGTTACAAGTTTGAAATTACTCTGAAACTTGATGACAAGCTATTCCTCTTTCAGTATGTTCGAGACCAGCACAACTTACTAAGGACAAAACTCCTGAAAGGAGAGAAATTTCCTTCCCTTTCTCATTTTTCTGTTCTGAACAGTACAGCTTATTTTAACCAAAGCAGTACATCTACAAAATTAAGTCTGGTCACACAAGAAAATTACTGTTACACCTGATAAATTACTAACATTACACGTGTCTAGACACGACTATTGGTCCAAAAGAACTTTTAAACTAAACTGCTCTTAACAAAAGCATAACGGCTCCGGGACATTCTGAATTCACACCTCAGTTTTCCTACGCAGCATCTTTTTAACACAAGAAACAAATGTGAGCCTGTATTTCCAAGCTGTTTTGAGAAGAGAATAACCAGACACCCCTCGCCTTAGCCAAAGTTCAGATTTGGGTAATTAAAGCACTTTCTTTCGCCGAGATCAATCCCATCCCGTTTCCAGGGCCTGTATGAGTACCAAGCCCCCAGTCTCGAACAGACCCCGCTCGCCGATACGGACCGACACGTCTCCCGGGTCTCGGCGATCTCCCGCTGCTCCTCCTTGCTGTTGAGCACGGCTCCGATGCTGTCCGCGTTCTCGGCCCCTAGCTGGACAGCGGGAAACACAAATTCACGCCGCGGCCACTGCGGACCCACCCCCACACAGCCCCAGGGCCGCCCCAGGCCCCTCGCCCCTCCAGCGCCCCGGGCCGCGGCAGCGGCGGTCGCTGAGGGGGAATGGGCGGGCCTGGCCGTACCTGCTGCGCCAGGAGCTGCCGGCGGAGCTTCTGCCGCTCCCGGATCTCCTGCAGGCGGCTGTTCATGGCCGCGAACCGGCCCCGCTCCGCCACAGCCACCGCCACCCTCCGCTCCGCCGGGCTCCCGCCGCCCAGGCGTCACTTCCCTCACAACACGTCACTTCCCACCCGCCGCAATTCCCTCGTGGAAATCCATGGCCAGGCTGCCCTGGAGTCACTGAGCAGACTCGTGTAATTTGGGCGTTGTTCAAGTACAGATATGAAATCCGTCTTCCCTCAAGCTGTGCAGTCCAAGTTCTCTCCCTCAGGCAGACACCCGGCTGTGCAGGGCTCCCCTCAGGCCGTGTCCCAGCTCTGGCCACTTCAGCAATTAGCTGGGCATGGGGGCCAGCTCGAGGTTTTACCTCGAGCGGTTTTCCTAAAGTACATCTTTTACATCCAATTTCAATATCCAGTGTGCTTATTTCTAGGTTAACCTTCATGTTTTGCTTCCATCTTCTGATCCTTTAAAAACTTCTGCTTTGAGGGAGTTTTGCAGAATCTTTAGAGCCTTTTTAATCTGAATTTTGCTCTTTTTCCCACTTTCTCCTTTCGTCCCTCTTGTACATCCTGTCTGTGAATGTATGTAATCCACATTGCATGCTGATTTTCATTCTGACAGCTATTCAGAATGCAACAAGAATGAAAACCGAAATATAGACCCGCCGTCTGCATTCAAAAGTTGTGCAATAAGTATCAGTCCCTTGTGTCTCACAAAAGGAAACTTAACAAAAGAACAAAGAAACATTACAAATTATCCCCACAACCATAATTAATGCTGATGTTTGCTCTCCTGAAATAGACTGATTCTTCCTGTAATTGCCACACCCAAAGATGTGGACAAGAAGAGCTGAGAAGGGACATTCAGCTCTCACAGTGTGGTGTTCCTCTGCTGGTATTTGAGTGCCAGACACTGTCACACTTCTGTGATACAAGCTGTTATTCTCCTATTTTTTCATGTGGTATATATTGTATACATGTCAATCATGTTATGCAAGTCAAATTGAGAAAGATGCAGGAAGAGAAGGAAATGAGAGAAGTGCAGACTAATGCAAAAAGAAACCTTTTCCAGCTACTCACATTTCTCAGTGATAGAACATCCTACAAAAACGGTGGAGCTTTTAAATGTTAAAACCCCAGAATACCAAGAGGTGTTTTTTAATCTCCCCAGGGAATACATTACTATGTTATACTGTCCTATCTGTGGAAATGTTATGGGAAAAGAAATGTTATCTCATACTACTGCACACTGCTTTGATATTGTTGGCTGTAATGAATACAGTAGAAGTCCCTGCAGAGTAACAAAATCACTTCCTCCTGGATGTGACACGATGAAGTTTGTGGGAGCCTGCACTCCATTTTTAGAACTGGTTGCTAGGATGAGCCGATCTTTACAAATATTAATGGCTATGAAAGATGTTCTGCTGTATCCACACACTGTTTCAAAACAAGAAAGTTGTATATTTTCAGAATGCCCCATGCCTTTCTTCTTCTCTGTGCATGCTGTGGTTTTGGCTCTCCAGCTTTGTACCCAGACTGTGGTCAGTTGTTTCTTCTCTTAAAACAAGTATCAGGCCAAACTCTTGCCAGTCTGGAGTCAAGAGCTACACATGCACATGTACTGCACCATACTCCAATCTATATTTGAGTTTGATCACTCATATTGGTGTTTTGATTGCATCACAATCTTCAGTGGAATCATCAAAAAAGCATGGAATCCAGCCTCTATCCTGATGGCATCCATGACATGGTGTCAAACCTACAAATATGCAGTACTGGAGCTGCATCAGCCTCCCTGGGCAATCCATACTGGAGCTTTGTGGTACTTACAGTCAGATTTTTTTTCCTACTCTCCACTTTAAATACTCCTTGCTGGAATTTACAACCTTGATTCCATATGGACAGCAAGAGAAATGCATTTCATACGGTTTGCCATGAGCGTGCAGAAGTTATTTGCTTCTCCTCTGCAACAGTCCCCAGTGTCTGGGAAGACTCATCACATTTCTTTTCACCCTGCTGTGTTTCCTTCTGCCTCCTGGAATCACCAAGTCAGCTCTTTCGTGAATGCCTCTTCCCACAACGAGGATTCAATTGGACTGTGAAATACAGACGTGATGTAGGATGTGCTGCAGGCGACTGACTTGCTCAAGCATCTCAGTGCAGTTATCCTGGTTCTTGACTTTGTTGAATTGCCATCACCCTTGATCCATTTTCCAGATTTTTCCCTTCAAATTTATGAAGCCAGTTGTTTCTCATCCTGTTTTTGTTTAACTGATTATCCCTGGGTACATTACCTTTCGCTTCTCTTTGCTGATGTGCATTCAATCTTTTTAATTATTTCTATTGTTGCAATAATTTTGATTTCAAATCCTGTCCTCCGGCCTACTTGTATCTACTTCCACTGTCAGGTGGCTGTGTAATCAGCAGACATTCTATGCCACTTTTTTTCACCATTCATAGCATTATAAAATATTTATAAAACACTAACAATTCATACTTGTGTTACACTGACACATATTCAAGTCTAGGCTACTCCATTTAGCAGAAAACTGCTAGTTATTTTGTGTTAGTAGAAATTACTGTAGAAGTTACAGAGAATTAGGCCCAAACTGCTTAATTTAACGCTGTTTGCTCACTTTAATTGTTCTTCACATCACAAACCTCAAACTACATTATCCCCAATTAGATGCTCAATAAATTCATAAATTAAAGGCACTAGATGGAAATAAAAGTTTATCTTTTAACTCAAAACAGACAAATAGAAAAATAGAAAATATAAAAATAGATTATAGTAGAAAAATAGATGTTAACATGGACCAACATTTCTTTATCAAGAGGGTGGTCAAACTCCGAAGAAGGCTGCCTGGAGAGGTGGTTGATGCCCCGAGCCTGTCAGTGTTTAAGAGCCATTTGGACAATGCCCTACAACAGGCTTTAACTTTCGGTCAGCCCTGAAGTGGTCAGGCAGTTGGACCAGGTAATAGTCTAGTCTAGTCTAGTTTATTCTATTCTACAAATTCAGTGTTAATTTCTATAGCAAAAGGTAGGAGTTAGCTGCTTTACCTTTTTTCCCCCCAAGTCTCATGTCTTTTGGACATCAGCCGTTACTGGCTTCCCATCACATTCAAGAATGTGTTAAAATACAACTGGCTTTTTAATAGAAATGTCTATGCCTTAAATATGCCATATGCCATGTGAAGAGAGGATGGAATGCAGCTCTGTGTTGAATTGCATCTAGCCATGTATTTACTCATTTTAACACTGCCCCCAAATGGCCCCTCTCTCACTTTAACACTGTCCCCTTAGTGAGGCAGGAGCAAATCTCTACTCATTATACAAACTTCAGTGATATTGTTTGTTCACTGAGCTGAATTTGGTCCACTCAAGGGCAGCACAAATCTGAGGACATGACATCTGCTGGCTTTACTATTACAAACCAAAGCGTTAAAGAAGTGTGAATGTGTTATGCTTTGAATAACAAAGAACCATATTTCTATACATCTCGGTGTTTTCCATCTTAGACTTAACTCTATAAGCGCTGAGATCAGAAAATATTATGTATCACTTTCCTGCTTTAGCTATGTTTTTCAAATAAGATATTAAAATAATACTGCCAGTTTTATCTTACAGTCAGAAATTGTGTTCTATCATGCTTGCAAAACAATCACATCCATTTTTGTGTTTTCATTTGGTACTTGTGCATATTTTATTTGATTATAATACTCTTACTTTGTCTCAGAGCTGTTTTGTGACCAGGTGTTTCTGTACAGAATGTTACAGTATATGGCAGCTTTGTACACTGAAAACCTCGTATGTCTGAAGTCTTTGTATTCCAGAAAAATCATCCTTATATATTACCTGATATCTATATATTTAATGTTTTCCTGAATACCTTCCACAGCTAATTAGATGGAGTATTTTTCCCTAAATTTATTTTCTTCTTTTCCCGATCTCCCATTTACTTCTGTGTTTTCCAGAGCATTTACAGTGTTACCAGTTAACTATGGCTTCTATGAACACTCAGTTTTTCCATATCTGCAGCTTAATGCTTTCTTGTGTAAGTTTATAGCACAGTCAGTTAAACAGCTCCTGGATCTGCCACTTATTTCCACGTTCATGGCATTCTATCCATTGTGATTTCTGTGTGGTTGTGGAATAAACCAGAGCAGGAAAAAAGATCTGGCCAATCTTTTAACCCAGCCTGGATTATTTTGCAGCAAATGTGCAACCACAGCTTCAGAAGCACCAGAAGTACAGAGAGAAGGCAGTAAAGAAATATGAAAAATGTTACTCTGGAAGATGGCTTGTAGTTAAATTCTAGAGAAAAGAGTTATTCTTCTGCTTTCTACTTTTCCTGGGTTCTAGGAGTTTCAGAAAGTAGATTTAGGAAAAAAACCTATATATACAGGGAAGAAAAAGTGGACATATGGACTACACATGACCATTGGAATAAATTCCCCAGGGAAGTGGTGGATTTCCCAACACTGGACACTTTTAAGGGTGCTGTGTTTTTTCCAAGAGAGTCTGGACCAGATAGTTCTTGAGTCCACTCCAACCTGGCATTCTATGATCCTGTTATGAAAACTGCAAGTCCATCTCTACAGCTCCAAGCAGAAGTTATTTGATTTCTAAGGGCCAAATGAAGGTTCTGTTGAAACTAATGGCAAAATTCTGAGATCTATTTCCAAAATAGGATAATAATCATAATAAAAAAACAATGAGAGGGTTTGAAATTTTAAAATAAACTTAGCAGTACTTCTACTTAATGTAACTGGGTATTTGGTCTAGTAGGATTTAGTTATACACCATTAGAAGGTATTGGGTAAAATAACAATGTTTAGAAGTCTAAAGTACAAAAAGTAGTGTGTACTGTAACACAGTGTTTATTTACACAAATAAATGGCCTGCTAAACAGATCCATATAAAAACAGGACAACTCACTGTCTACCTTTTGTATAACTATATCCATAGCAAAAATCTCCAAAGCCAACGGGCTTAATTTTAATTTTTACTTTTACTTTTCAGTTGACATATTATTACCCCAGCCAAGATGACTAAATATGACAATAGTAAGTTGGGACGTGTAATTCCACAGAGCCATTAGATTGTGAAGAAAATAGCAATGAGGAAATCATAATAATGGGACAAGAGGGATCAGAGGAGATAAGAAAGGGACATCAGTCACAAGTCGAGAAGAATAAGGGATGATTAAGCCAACAATGAAGATTAAAAGAAATCAGTTTGTTTTGCCAATTGTTACAGCACTGGAATTTTCCATCCAAAAGGGACGGAATTTTCCATCTTTGTCCTCCTTCTTCATCTGTCGCCCTTCATCCCTGCCCTTCCCACCCACATTCTGTGGCAATGAAGGCAATCTAAGTGCAAATGTCTGTCACAGGTCTGCACAATGCCAGTGTTGTTCTAACCACAAGTTCAATAGCGCAAAGCCAGCTCTGATCCCATCTTGTGCAGAATCTCCTCACAACCCTACACAGGAGCCTCACCTTATTTATTTTAAAGCCTGTGTGGTTGCAGTTTAAAATTTCCTCTAAAATGCTGAAAGCAGGCACAAGCAGCAAATGCATCTTTGTGAGTCGCTTTAAATCAATCAGTGTGAAAGGGGTGCTCCAGCTCTGTAGATATTTGTGAAAGCAAGCTAGGAATTGCTGAGATTTATATTTTTTGAAATGGTAACAATGTGGGCAAACTAAGGCTCGTATTCATCATGTATAATATCTGTTCACTAACGTGAGAAGACTCACTGATTTTGATGAAATTATTAACCAATACAGCAAACAGAACATAGTTTATAAACACTCAACAATATATTCCCCTCCTTAACTGCTAAACTTCTCAAATAATTGAAGCTGCAAGTAAAACAAAAGATAATTTACAATTAGTCCTAGTGCTTCCAATACAGACCAATACATCTCAGTTTCCCTAAGTCAAATAAATATAAACTGACTTTTTTTTTAGCTTTCCCTTCATTAAGTATAAGAACATGGGGTCCTTTGGAACAATGATATTCATATCCCAAACTATTAATAATAATAGAATGCAGCTTTTGTGACTTCTTTCTCAAACCCCCCAAATATTAAAAATATAAGTAGGAATAAATCTGGGTAATGTTGACCAAACCTCTATTTCAGTGGCGAGTCAAGAGTAGGCAACATGTAGCAGAAGAGTCATGTGAATATCTAACATGGTTCAGGTCTCTCTTTTCAATCCTGACACAGATCAAAAATAAGAAGTGGTAAAATCCTGACTGCTCTTTGTTCTAACTTTGTGAGACATTGTTTTCAAGTTCACATACAATAAATTTCTCAATTTGTATATAATAGCAATATCCTTCTAAAAGTCTATCTGTAAACTGATTAAAAATAACGCATGTAAACCTGACTTTTGGAAACATGGGAAATTCTTTACATTGTCAATTAGTTCAGCACTTGGAGATCAACAACGACCAAACCTAAATAACAGTGACAGGAGAATTATATTTGATTCTTCTCTGCCTCTGAGAAAATGTGCATTGAAACATGCTAATATGTAACTTTTTAAAAATATATAGCTGTATTTTTATGTTAATAGGACTTAGAAGTCTTAAAAGTCATATCTATTGAGTTATATTTTAAGAGTGCACTGCTGAAGCATATGAAGAAATTACAGATGTATTAAATAGATTTTTTTGTTTACAATGGGGTCCCTGCAAAATATTTTGTTAAATAAATAAACTACGTGGGCTGTTTTATAGTTGTATACATATACAGAAGGGGAAAGATAAAAAAAGGAACATGTCTTGCTTTGCATTTCAAACTGTGGACCAAATGCCCTCATGGCAAGGTTTATGCTAATCTGAAGTGTTTGCTGCCTTTCAAGATCAAAAACATTTAGAAACTCAAAGTTTATAATATGTTAAATATGGTGTCATGGACAAAACTATTCCTGCTCCAACATGTATTTATAACTTTCCCCTTCTCTTTTTATTTTACATGTTTAAATATGCTATAGTTATATTTTAATAACTGTCTAAAAAGTATAAAAATGCAGCTGTAACCCACTTCATCCTTTCCCGTTTCGGTAACAGAGGATTATGTTAATGAAGATAAATCAAATAATTGAAGGGTCACTGCATGAATGTAGCTTAGCACCGAAGCAATTCCTGCATCCCTCTGAAAATGCAGAGGAAAAAGCCTTATTTACACATTGTATGTACGGTGCTGTTGGA